ACCAAACCCAGTTCAAATTTTTCGAAATTTTCAAATTTTCTAAATTCAAAACCACAATTTACACTCTCTCTCCCCTCTCTTCTTCTCAAATCAAACACGTCCCTCTCCTCTCTTCTCTCAAAATGACTGGTCCTCCTCCTTCATCTCCCGGTCTCTCTTTCCTCTCTTCTCCCTTCAAACACGATCCCTCCTCCGTCTTCCCTCAAACTCCGATCGGACCACCACCACCAACGGCTGCTGCACCACCGACAGCCATCGCGTGATACCAGCTCCACCAGCGCCACCCCCCGGTTGATCTCTGTCCAGGTATTTGACTAATTTCATGAAATACATACCCTAATCTAACTGGCTTCATAAAATTAGAGTTTTTATGATATTATCGCTTTGGTCATGAAATTAGGGCTTTTTTTTATGAAATTAGGCTATCAATTTGGTCAGATTCACTATTGCTCATCATATTTCATAATCCAACTAGGGAATGTGGGAGGAGAAATGTTGATTGAAAGCCCTAAATGTACTGTTGTGGATACGTATTCTTGTGACAATGGGAAAGTGTGGCCAACTAATTCCCACTGATCTAGTGGATAGGGTAAAGTAATTTGCAGCAAGCTTGCAAAACATAGGTAGTCTTAGTCTCTCAAGTCCTCATTTGTACCCTTCTGAGACTTGACAAAAGTTGTGTTAGAAAATGAAACTCTTTAGTTTTACCCCATAATTGTATGGTGGTAAAAGATCTGTTATGTTCAATTCTGCAATCTTTCCTGTCCAGAATAGAGCAAGGAATGTAGGCAGTGTTTTTGTAATGGTTATGGTAACAAGGGCTTTTTTTTTCCCTTGTGCAAATAATCAAAAAATGATGCAAAGAATTTGTTTGTTTAAATCAGAAAAGCTTGATTAACTAAGAAATGCAGCTGTCACCAATCTAGAAATATTCTTCTTTGTTGTCTTATCTTTTTGGGTGCAAATTCAGCCACAATCCTCAAATATATTGCTGCTGATATGTAACTTTAAGTGCATGTGCAAGTTGTTTTAACTTTAAGTGCATAGTCCACAGAGTTGTGGTGTGCTTATTAACACCTCCAAAGAAGTTGCAATGTAGAAGAACTAACAGGATTGACGTTTCTTAAAACCATGATGACAATTATCTGATAGGAGAGTTCATCCAAATTCCACAGATTTTGCGATGGTATTGTAAAGTGTGAACTTTTAGAGACTTCTTTGTGATATATATCAATGCTCCATCTACCACATTTCACATAAAGATAAGACCAAATTAACAGGGCATAAATGCTTCTATTCTTTGCTATTCCTTATTCTTTAGTCATAGATTTCCTTTAACAAAAACTGAGAAGATTGATTTTGGAAAACTGCATTTCGTGTACAGTTGACATGGCTTCCACTTCTTCGAACACCAATTCATTGGACCATTCCCCGATTTCAATGTCGACCTCAACAATTTAAGGGAACACATCAGTATGAAGATGGAGGCATCAATGCCATGACTCAGTCACTCTCTGATTACTTCACCAAACCTTAAAGTCCAAAGGTGGATAAATACAGAGATGCTACTCAAGAAGGCAGAGGCTAAAGAGCAAGGCGCTGAGTCTGTTGTCATTTTTTTTCTAGTTTGTTGATATTGTTGGGCTAGAGAGTCTTTGTATCCATTTGTTAACTTGTGGAAGAGCAAGGCGCTGAGTTTGGAGTATGTAATTGACTACTTTTATTCTAAGATTCAATGTAAATGCAACGCTCTAATTGACTAATTTTATTGAGGTTCGATGTAAATGCATAACTATCTACTACATTTTGCTGTGACTGTGTTCAATATTAGTTTGAACTGGAATGTGGCAGTTTGTTTATTGTTATTAGTTTGAGATGCAAGGCGTTGGGCTAGTCCATAAAGCAAGGAAACCTCTTTTTTTGTGACAAGGAATGATACGAAATGATACGGATACGGAACGGTACAAAATGATACGGATACGGACACGACACGATACGAAATGATACGGATACGAATACGAACACGGCACGACACGATAGTGTGGAAACATTAGAGAGAATTTATTGTTTGCAACTCATTCCCTATTTTACTCTTTTCTTATGAGCATAAAATTATGACCATTGACAATTACTAAATGGAAGTTGCCATTGATCCAAAATTCTCACTCATTGTATATCTCTCTCTCTCTCTCTCTGTGTGTGCAAATAATTCATTAGAAGTAAAAAAAGAAAATCATGTCTACTAAGTCTTGCATTGATCATTGTGATACATGTTACATATACCAAACAAAAGTCATATTGGACACTTACAAAAGAGTTAAATGAGCAAGCTACAAAAAGCCTAATGCTTGCCCTTTTAACTACGTTTCCAAGTTCAACATAGTGCAAGATAACATGAAAAAACAGAATTTAATAGCAGCTCACCTAACAAAAAGCAAAATGTGTGAGCATTACAGCTTCTTAATCAGGCCACCCAATAAGAAACAAAAAGTGTGACCTTTGACATTTGCCTATTGCTCACCGCAACAAAAAACAAAAGGTGTGAGCGCACACGTATATATATCTCCACAACTAGAAGTAGACAAAAGAGGACTTCATGATCAAAACCAATTCGGCTTCAGCTTCACTTCACATGCAGCTTCACTTCATATGAATATCCTTGAAATTTCGTGCATCCTTATCTGTCCAAGTTAGGTTATCAGCCCCCCCTGCCTCAATCACACATGAGGCAACAATTTGGTTCATATTGATTCCGACAGCCGTGTTCAATTCAATTGTTCTCTTCACATTTGGTGGGAGAGCCTGGTAGCACCGAAGGTATTTCACTTTTTCCTGATCCATATCATGATTATGCTTCAGTTCAATTGAACTCAACTTCCACTTCCCATCAACTAGCAAAGAGATATTCATATGGGTTTTACAACCTATTTTTGGTGTTGGAGGGGATTTAACAAGATTCGAACCCGTTGGCCTGGCATTTCCACTCCGATGACAACCATAAGTTACATACGACTTTACGTTGTTAACCTTCTTAGAGGTTATTGTGATCGCACCGAAACCTTTTGCTTTCGCATAAATAGTGTAACATTCCTGGGCTTTGTCTTCAAAATCAAATATCGTTCCAACCTTAGGTTCCAATACCAACTCTGAATTCTGATTTTCCTCCAAATTCGAATCTTCTATTTCCATTATTCTACAAATAAGAGAGAGACACACAACTATGATTAAAAAAGAGTTGAACTAGTCCACATGTACAATGCACTTAAACATTAAACAGTCCTACAATTACATAATAATCAATTTTAGAAACAAATATTCAAGATCTCAATATGAGGTACCCACGTATTCTTTAAACAACCATTCAAGATCCCATTTGTCTTAAATTACCACATGACATTTTGGAACCCAGAGCACTATTGCATTGATAAAGGGTAATTGATTCTGATGACCTTTTCTAACGTAATCAATTATCATTCAAGTGCTTGATAGGTATCAATTTGATATGGAGAATCTGCAGAATTTTTCGACCTATAATTCTCATCTGGGGAGGTAAGAACTTCAATGATACCCATTGATTATTGCATTGACACTGAATCATCATTTCTATATAACATAAAATTTTGTTGTGTTTAGAGGTAGAGATTGGTTATAAAGATTGTTCTTTTTTTAGGTTAAAAAATTAAATAATTAAGATTAGATTATACAGTGAGTGTGTGTCACTGTTCTTTCCCACGTTATTGTTCAAAGAAAAGCAAGAAATAGAGAATACGAGTCGAGTTCGCGGAAACAGGAAAGAATTGAGGAGCTGTGACATGGGTTTCTCTAGAAATTGATAATTTGGTGATGTGGAGACGAAGGAGAAATCTGGTTCAAGATTGTTTGTCGAAGGAGAAGATCAAAAGCAATTTAGTGTTCAAGATTGGAACAACAAAGGTTTGGCCTTTATGTTACTTTTTTACACGAAATTGAATCCGCTGCTTGTCGATTAACCAATAAGAGGAGGAGCCAAAATCATAATATCTATTTTTGTCAACATTGGTGTTTAAAGGTAGGGATTCACTCATCTATAGATGGGTTAAGAACAAGCTAACAGTGTTCAGAAGGGAATAACTTCAGAAGGAAAAACAAAAATCAAGCATCATCACTCAAGCAGAGGAAATATTAGTGTTCAGAAGGGAAATCCCACAAGTAGCCACAATATGTCGGAGAGCACTATAGCACTTGATTTCACCTCTAATACTACATAATCTCGAGGCCAATATCTAAGGAAAACATATTAGTTGGCAGAAAGTTTCACCTGTTAAGGGGAAGAAATTGCCACAGCCCTGTTACACACAAATCGTAATGTGGCGCTGGGGTGGTGGAGGCCCGGCGACGGTGGTGATGGTCGATCGGCGATGGGCCGGCGTATATGGGAAGGCTTGGGCTCTGGAATCGTTTTGGAGAGAGAGAGAACTCAGAGAAAGTGTGTATTGATTTGAAAAAGTGTGCACTGTATTAATTTTCCGTAATTTTTTGAAAAAGTAAATTTTGGAGCTCAGTTCTCCAGCGCATTTGGTGGGCTGTGGAGATTGGGCCCACCCTTTCCACGTGAGTTTCGGGATGCATTTCAGGCCAATTTTCTCTGCTGATAGCATTATTGGTTTTACAGCTTTCCTCATGTGATGTCAGTTCCCTTTTTTAGACTCGTTGAGTTGGTAAATTAATCTCCAATAGAATAATCGACAACTACTACTCTATTCGAAATGATGATGAGGTGAACAAAAGGAATAACCACTGTCAAACCATAACACTTTGACGTGGGAGTCGGCCTCACCCGAATTCGGGCGGGGATCCTGCCTAGCGATATTATTGCAAAACGGTTTCAAGCGACTGACAGGGCCAGCCCAAGGAAAAGGTGCAAGAGGCCGCCACCTTGGGCCTCCATATTTTGGGCCAAAAATAGGACACTCTTTTTTAAATAAGTATATATATTTTCTGTGCACAATTATAATACAAACTACTTTGGTGGTTCAGTGGTAAAGTGTTTGTTTTTCTACATAAGATTCTTAGGTTCAAGTCCTAGTATGGTATTTTTTTGAAGTGTCTTGTCATTAAACGCCGAAATATTTACCATGTTTAATAATATGAACGAAAATGATATAAAAATAAGTATTTCTGTTTATTATTTTTAAATTAGGAAATTTATGTAGGACACAATTCCACCACTTGGCCTAGGACATCCAAATACCTTGGCCCGGCCTTGACGACTGATCCGGCCGTTTAGCACCCACTTTAAATCTGAGCGGGATACAAATTCAAGCCAACAATTGCCAAGATGAAGGGCTGCTTGGCACCCACTTTGCAAGGTTCCTTGGCAGCATCCCCCTGCCCCGAATCCAACCATTGGTACCCAAATAAGGGTACCGGAAATATACATACGGACACAAAGTCCACTTTTGTGTCCCATATAAATAATCAAAACTTTTAAATGAAACTTGAAAGATTAGATCATCCACTTACTCAGTAGTTGAGCTTATTTTTTGCAAATTCATTGAAATCTTATTTTAAAATTAATGAACGATTTAAATTATTTTCTCGTGTGACCAAAAAGTGAGCCCGCGTGATGTATGTACACTTTTGGCACCCCTTTGTTCGGTACCTCTCCGCCTATTGTAACATCACATTTAGACTTGTCAACAGGCCAAATCCGATAGATCCAGATCCGATAAGACTTAAATTCGATCCGAATCCGATAAGACTCAAATCCGATAGTGATAATTCGAATCCGATCCGAAAGCTTTTTTAATTCAAAAAATAAATAAATAAATAAATGCAATTTAAAAAAAATAAAAGAAAAAATTTAAAATAAAAATACAACTTCTTCAACATTTTTTTTTTCAAAATAAAAAATTTACTGTTTTTTTAAAAAAATAAAAAATTTATAAAAAGTAAAAAAAAATAAAATTCGGATTCGGATTGATAACAGATTTAATCCGATCTGATATCGGATCGACGTTATTGGATTCGGATTTGGATTGGATTTTTCGGATCGGATCCGATCCATTGACAGGCCTAATCACATCCTCCCTAATCCCACGACAGTCCTGACCTTTTTTCTTTTACGTTGTTCTAATACAAAATAGGGAGAAGGAATACCAAATACAAGTAATACATGTATCAATTGGGACTAGCTCAGTTGACAGGATTCTTACATCATAATAGGAGATCAAAAATTCGAATCTCTCCATCTGCGTTGGGTGCTCTTCCCTTCAAAGTGTGTTTCACTTTGTTTCTTTTATATCTTCACTATGATGTGTTTATTTATTGTATTGGTTGAGTTATTGACTTGATTATCTGGTTACCTTTCACAATTGATGGAGCGGAATTAGCTATGCACAATTATTATACCATTACGGAGTGAAATGATTTTTGTATTCCCATTTTATTTTTTTAAACTCCTTTTTTCTTTATGTCTATATTCACTTGAAATGACCAAAATGTCTTCTATTTGAAAAGTGAATTCATAAGCAAGGATAGCTTTATAACTTTATGTGAATAAAAAAAAAAAATAGAGTGCAAGAGGATAAAAGAAAAGTACAAAAACTATTTTCCTATTATGCACTACATGCAATCAAGAGCATTGATATAGATGACACATGTGTTGCCACCCATCAGGACTAACATTGATTGATGATAAACCGTTGATTGTGTATTTTACGTTTTTGATCGGGATAACAGATAACACATGTACATTAATACGATTATATAAACTCTCTCGTATGAGTTGACCCCCTGTACTCCTCTTAAGAGAGTTTTTACGAATTTTTTTTATTATTTTTATCTAAACTTTTAATACGATTGTTGGTGCAAAAATTCGTAGTTGTAGCAAACATTGTGACAAAATCCATTGACCTTGTTCCAAACGGAGCCCCTTAGGCTCCGTTTGGAACCTATGGAAAGGAAAGGAAAAGAAAGGAAAATAAAAAAAATTTCCTTTCCATTGTTTGGTTGGAAGGGAAAGTGTGAAGAAAATAAGAATTTTAAGTGTAATAAATAGTAAATTTTTACTCCCATTTTCCTCTCATTTTTCTTCCCTTTTATTTTTCTTTCCTTTCTTTTTCTTTCTTCAAGTTCCAAACAGTAGGGAACGGAGAAGTGGTACTTTTCGACAGCACTAGGCCAAGTAAAAAAATTCTGACCGTTGCTTTTACAGTTCACCCTTCTCACCTTCCCGCCGGCGGGCTTCAGGTCTCTCTCTCTCTCTCTCTACCGATCTTTCTTCCGACTTATTGTATGCGCGCTTCTTCGGTAATTGCTTTGTCTATGTATGTTTGTCTTTTACGGAGTAATTAGCATGAGTTTGATTCGGAGTCGCCATGTCTCTGAATCTGGAAACTCACAGGGTACGTTTTCCGTTTCTTAATTGCTTTTCGATTTTCTGAAGTCATGTGATTTCTCGTACTGTTGATTAAGGTAATTAATAGTGTAACGCTATTTCGATGACATCAGTTTGCATGGTGGATGTATCGATTCTCTGTCTCGCCAGTTACTCTTCTTGGGTTTGCGAGATTTGTAGTTCTCGGTCCTCCCCATGCCAATAATTTACGGGTTTCAAACTCGTAAGGGGATTTTTTTGGTCCGACGGCCATGAGAAATTTGGATCAATCCACATAAACATAATTAGGTCAATAACCACTTAATCCCCAACGACTGAGGGTAGCTAATACTGAAATGGCATTACCAAAGCTATTTTTTGGCTTACTATAGTGTCAAAATGGCATTACCAAAGCTTCTTCCTTTTTTTTTTTTTGGCTTGCTACAGTGTCAAAAAGAAAAAAAAACTATAGCATTTTTCCAAAGCTGGTTCGGTGCCATTTGGCACAATCTTAAATCCAGACCATTGGATTAAACTCATCTCATTTATTAAAACAAATCCAATGGCGCAGATTAAGTGGGAGAAATGCCAATTCAATATTTGTGCCAAATTTAGCACCAAAAATGGCAATGGCATTGCCATTTTTTGGCATCAACAAATGGCAATGGTTTGCCAAAATATATGCTGAAGACAAATGACTGTGGGGTGGACTAGCTCTAAAATACGATTGTGTAAAGCTTGAATGGGCTTGCAAGATGGCAGAGAGGGAGCTGTGATAATTGTTTTCCTATATTTTCAATAGCAAATCGTATTAGAAGTCAACGAATAGTGAAGTGTTCGTAAAAGATTTCATGATTCATGTGTTAGGACAGATGAGTGTGCAACAGTTGGAATTTCATGATTCATGTGTTAGGACAGATGAGTGTGCAACAGTTGGAAAAATAAGATTATCAATGGGGTAAAAGTAAAACAAGGGGACACAATGGGTAGTACCGTAGCACAGATGGGTAGTATTGACCTGACCACAATGATGTCCAAAAAAGATTGGTGAGCACAGTATTTGGTGGGTGCACAAAGAATAATTAAATGATAGGAAGTTAATTTTTTTTATTTATTTTATAAATCACTTGGAGCAAGTGAATTGTGGATTTTGTTGTGCTCCAACGGCAGATGTTTCATGTGATTGATCCACGGTAACTATACAAGAGCACTGTGAGTTGACTAATGTTACTAGCCTAGTAAGTTGTAGCAGTGACAGCACTGATTCCTGAATATAAGGGGTTATATCATGTGTATGTTAGCTGGGTAGTCCCCAAGTCTTTTCAAGACCAAACTGAGCATACCAAAACTGATAATTTCACTCCTCAATATCCTACTGAAGCCTCCAATCGAGTGAATTGGTGAAGAAGGGAGAACTAATGCCTTTCGGATAAGAAATTGACCCTTGCTTGCTGTCTGGTGCGGCTTATTAGGGCAGTTCAAATCCAAGAACTTAAGCCTTATATAGTAGGCACAGAAAATAAATAGCTGCCACAATCTTAGTAAGTTAGCACAAATCTTTGTAGAATCTTACCTGGTCTTTTAGCGTGGCTTCGATTGTGCATATCAGATTGAAAAAGTGCCATGTACTTTAGTTTTAAAGATTACTGATGACCCTTTCACTTGAGTACCTCCATGCACTTTAGCTTCTCTTTTCCTAGCATCCAAAGGCCAAATTCTTCTATTTGGAAATCAAGCACTTGCAGGAAGAATATCCCTTTCACTATCTGCAGTCCACTTGCTGACCTTTTCCAGTGGTGGAATGAAATCGATAACAGGAAGGTTCTCAGTGCTTACTAAGTGGGGAAAAAGAAATGATGCTTGGCAAATGGCTGTTTAGTAATGGATACTGAAAGGTCCCTGGATTCAGGAGGACCTCAAAGCAAAAAGCTTAGCCAGACTGAGATGATGTCTACAGCAAACACTTGGTATCAAGCATTAGCGCCATAGTGTGCTTCCTCGTTGACAGGGAATTTTCCACATTTTCTTGTCTTTTCCTCTTTTTTTCTAAAGGAACTTTGCATCCACAAAAACATGCAATTTGCTGTACATTTTTCATTCTTAGGACAGGACGGTATCAAGTTTGTTGGATAAAGCCCGTATTACGAGGACTTTGTGGTGTGATGCTGAGATCTTAAGGCATTCCAGTATATTCAAGAAACGTTAGGTAGAAGTAAATTTAAATGAGTAGAATGAACTCCGTGTAGTGTTTCAACTTTGAAACAAGGACCATACAATGTTAAACAATCACTTCCTGGCCGGTTCTTTAGGCCCCAATTTCCATTATCAGGATTCAAGGGGAAGAAATAGCAAATATTGGGCTAAAATAACAGTATAGTTATAGTACTTTGAATAAGCGGTGGTGGCTTTACATGAAGAGCATATTTATAATATTCCATGTTAGATATCTACTATAACATGAAGATTATATTTACAAATTCAAGGGAGAACATATCTGCTATAGAGTCCGCGCACCCCCACACACACACACACACACCTCTGCCTACCTTGTGAAGGACCTTCCAAACATAGTCAATAGTAAGTGAAAGTCGATAAAACTATTGCAGTAAAAATACCCTTAGCTTTATGTAAAGGTCGAGGATATCCACATTTAGTTTAAAAAATAGAATATTAGCTAGATCGGCATGTTTTTAAATTAAATCCACCAAGCCAAGAA